GCACATATCCATCTAATATAGGATGCTCAGGGCGCTTGATATGTGGACTAGGAACTCGACCAATGACTTACTTCGCCCCTGAGGGTCCCTTCATGTCTGTGCTACCCGGTAACCCGGTACCAGCAAGTGTCGTCGTCCACCACAGGGGCTGTCTCTTCCAGTACACCGAGGTATCCCCATACTCGTCTCGAAGGGTGTACTGGTTCTCATAGTGCACACGAGCCATGGCATTGTATACACTGAGCCTACGGTTTATAGCCCTTATCCGAGAAGACTTTATAGAGTATAGCCCAGAGTAATGATACTCCAACTATGGAGGGTCCAGGAATTCGAAATAGAGGGGACCCAGGGAGGATCTTGTGCAAATGGAATGCCCACCCACCTTCTGCCCTACAAGTGAAGTTAATTGTTGTGATAAAATCATTAGAAAAATACAAATTTTAGGCACAGTGATTACTGAAATCTGGAAAAATCTACAATGATTATTAACATACATGCATGTTAATTGTCAAAAGAGTTGAATAAATTAAAGACGTATAATAGGAATTCACAGTGTAATCTATCCTACTGTGAAGCTAATAAAAACAGGTTCACCCAACATTGTCCATCCCACTGCCCACCCTACTTTAACAATGGTATATTTCATTTTGGGTGGTTTTCGTCCGGGTGTTTCGTTTTTAAATGCGGACCTTCTCCAGTTTTCGTCGTAACCCCCTTAACCCCCACCCCTTTCCCCAAGCTACGGGCCTGAACCTATATCTTATGATTAGCACAAACAGAACTAGAGCGTCGCTCCATAAAGAGTCCTCCATGATCAATTCCTTTTTCTTCATGCTCGAGGGTGCCATGGGTTTCAAGGAATGTTGACAACAGAGCGCGTAGGCCTATACAGACGTCAATCAACAGTTTGGTTGCTCAACTCAAAAAGGGAACTTGGAATGTTCGTTAGAAAATGAAAAAAAATCCATAGGCCCTATATTATAATAATAATAATAATAATAATAATAATAATAATAATAATAATAATAATAATAATAATAACAATAACAATAATA